GTGCACTGGCAGTTACGACCGTTACTCTGCCCACTGTAACGGTTCCTGTCTCCCCTTTTTCTCTCCTTTTCTCTCCTTCTTAATCTGCTGCTGCTACCGTCAACATCTCTGTCACAGTCTCACACTCCTCTGTTTTATGTCACTGGCTCTTCTCTTCGTCTCTCTCTCACATATACAAACACACACTCTACCAAGGCTGAGCGGTGGGGAACACACCCGTAGAGATGTCAATCTTAGTTGTTAGTAACAAATCAGACCGGTCAAGCATCAGCATCTCGCTGTGTGTGTACAAATTGTGTGTGTGTGTGTGTGTGTGTGTTGTGTGTGTGTGTGTGTGTGTGTGTGGTGTGTGTGTGGTGTGTGTGTGTGTGTGTGTGTGTGTGTGTGTGTGTGTGTGTGTGTGGTGTGTGTGTGTGTGTGTGTGTGTGTGTGTGTGTGTGTGTCTACAAGTGTGTGTGTGTTTGTAAATGCATTTTTTTGTGAATTGTGTACCAACTCGGTTAGTTTGTTAGTCTCTGTGACTTAGAATACATGGGCGGTTAATGGTTGAAATAATCTAATTAACGCATTTATCAAGCAAAAATGTTCAAAGTTCACTGGTTACAACTTTTCAAATGTGGAGGATTGTTGCTTTATTTATTATATTTATTTGTATACTTATTTTATTATTATAAACAATATTGTTTTAGTTTTGGACTTTTTCACATTGTGACAAAAAACATATTAAACAAGTAGTTGATAAAGTATGATTGATAGGCTAACTGAAATAAAAAATATAGGCCTGGTTAGCCTAATAAAATGGCTGACCCCAGGGGACTTGAGAACTTGTGATGAGCATTTCTTTCATTGTTTTTAGCCTTTTTTGGGGGGCTTCTCGGTCTACTTGTTTGACACAAATATGGGCACCTTTTGGACATGGACATTGTCAAATATTTTAGATATTCATAACCATGATAAGAAAATTGCTGGACGAAAGTAAAAGTAAAAAAAAACATTTGATCGGTAGTAGATAAAGAACGTATGCAGTATATTTAATCCCAACGGTAATTAAAAAATTAAGATAACGGTATGAGTATAGAAATGATTGTCCTTACTCACATTTCCTAGGCTGAAACTCTACAACTGGCGAGTTTTTTCCCTTACATCCTAAGATTTGGCTGACAAGAATCAACAAAGAAAAATAACAACATATCATTAATGAAAGTAATCTTTACATACAGTACGTCCTGATATAAAACTGTGAGAGTATTATAATTACTATCTGTATATGTGAGTGAATGTTTGTTGGTGTGAATGAAAATGCCTCAGCAAGGGTCTCATCAGACAGGAAGTGATCTCAATCTCTCTCACACTCCTCCTGTGTTTCTTGTTCTTGTTCTTTGTCTTGCTGTTCGTCTTCTTCCACTTCTTCGTTTTCTTCTTCTTTTTCTTATTCCAAGATCTCCGTTCCTCCTCCAGAGCTCTAATTGACACGGTGCAGCTTTGAAGCCTCTTTTCTGGCTCTATTATAAAACTAGTAGCTGCAGTGGCACTGACTCACTGTCAGCAAGCAGCAGGGAAACTGAGCTAGTCCACACACACACACACACACACGACCACACACACATCACCAACACACACCACACACCACACATAACACACACACCACACAACAACACACACCTACATCCACACACACACACACCACCACACACACACACACAACACACACACACAACCACAAACACACACAAAACACACACACACACACACACACACACAGAGACAGGACGATACACACAGAGGACTGGCTACAACAGATAACCCGCAGACAGAATTATGGAAGGCAAGCTTCAAACTCACTTCCTAGCAGCGTTGCCGTGGTTTCAGGAATTGGGGTTCTGCCAGTGGTACAGCCAGGGGCCAGCAGCGGGAGGAGGAGGTTTCTGGCAGCTCTAGTCCAGATGGAAATCCCCAGCCGTTGTGCCGGGCTCACACATCGTGCAGGGAAACATTCCCCACCCTGTGACGGAGCTCAGGCCGCTCCACAGTTTAGTTTTAGTCTGCTGCCTCGGGAGGAAAAGACAGATCTGCTTGTTGGCAGAGGTTATTCAGTTTGAGGTGTTCACAGTTTTAGGGCTTAAGTTGGTGCTTTGTTAAGTTTCTAAGGAGCTAGAGTGACCGTTAAGTGGATGGACTGTGAAATAAAAAGAGATCGCTGATGGATTCGGGGACTTTTTTGTCACAAAATTGACTAATATATTTGTTGGGCTGTGTATGTAGATATCCTAAATGTTTTCATCAATTTTCAAACAAAGAGCAATCCAATATTTTAATCAGGTTTATGGTCTGCTTGCTTTTGAGTACGTGTTACATTGTGATAGTCTGCCAAAAGCTGTCATAAATAAACTTTTTATCCATAAAAGGAAAAAGGTCCAAGGAGGTCTGATAAAAGGCTTCTAAACGTTTTGCCAGAAGAACACAGTGGACCTCTCTTCTTACTTTCACTCCTAATATTTTGTGTTCCTCACGGCAGAGAATCTTCTTTGTAATTGTTTGATCTTCGAGGCTGGACCTTTTCCTTTCTTGACTTTAAGACAGATTTTTACCCTAGATATGGGTGCTTGGATCTTGTCAGAGAAAAAAAGCCAATGTTATTTGGTAACGTCCTGTGTGCAAAGAGCATTAGTAAAAGGTTTTTGACACAGAAACTGCTTTATTCTGTGCTTTTATCCGTTTAATCACAGACCACATGGTTTTGCCTCTGGTAAAAACCTTCTAAATGTTGAACACTGAAGTGATCCTGACTTGTGTTGTTGGACATGAGCTACTCCTAGAAGAAAAAAAACATCTTGTGTTTAATTAATTAGGACTATAAGTTTGAATTTTTCCAAGGTGTCAAACAATCAAACAAGGGGGAGGGGAGTGTGTGGGAGAGAAACCCCCTCTGGAAGGAACTTTGGATATTTAGCCTTTCCAGACCGTTTACATGCACTCAAACCTATTTAACACACTACAGGGAAGGGAACACCCCAACAGGCTTAATAGTGCCTCTTTATTTGAAATGAAAGCATTCTGCACAGAGTGTGTGTGCTCATGTTACCAGCTCTCTCCTGTTGGTCCCTGTGGAGCCAGTAACGGGCAATTCATGCTCTCAGGACACGTATTGATTTACGATGCTGTGATGGACAGATCAGATTGTCAGGTCCCCAGAGTCCACACACACACACACACACACACACACACACACACACACACACACACACACACACACACACACACACACACACACACACACACACACACACACACACACACACACACACACACACACACACACACACACCTGTCTAGTGTGTGAGAAGTCATTTTCTTCACAAATCAGAGTTGGATTGAACCTTAATGTCAATGAGTGTAACGATGGATGAGCAACAGATAAAGAGAAGCAAACAGAGAGAAAGAAGAGAATACAGTTGTGAAAGTGAGACGATGAAAAGAGAATCAAACTCCCCTGTCTTCAAGGCTTATTGACTTTCTTTAAAAATAGAAACACTAGTAGAGCTTTGAAATCTCATCTCTTCCTCTTTCCACCCCCCTTTCTTTATGTCTGAGGCAAGTTAGATAGTCCCTCCCTAAGCACAGATCTGTCTGTCTTCCATCACCACTGGCATCTTAAATGTCATCAATACATCGGCTCCATTAGACGTTATGTGTCCGCAGTGATTTATTTTAATTGATATAGTGCTGAACTATAATTTAATTAAAGATGATGCAAGCTGTTCTCTTTATGCACACAAAGACATTCAATTTACAATTTAGTTTACTATTATTTCACTGTAATCTCAATCAGCTTATTGTGCTTTTATTAGTTATTTACTTACAAGGAATTTGCCTTGGTATTTGATGTAGCCAATAAAGCAAACATATTAAGAGGAAACATTTTAATTACTAGGAAAATTAGTTTTGAGCGCCTAAAAGGGAGTCAACTTGACCGTAAATTAGAACAAAACCATGTGTTAGAAAATAATAAGGCTTATCAATTGCGTAGACGTACCGTAGTTACTTATAAGCCACATCAACATACATCAAAACGTATACAACTTTATAAAAGTAGTATTATAAAATTAAACTATATTTATTTATTTTAATTGAAATTATTTAAGTTTATAAATTATGTGAAAACATGCAAAAATGTAAATGTCTTGCAAAGAGTCTACAGCCATGTCTGCAGCTCTGTGAGACTCTACTCAGTAAAGTGCTGACGTGATTTGTATATATATATTTGTTTTAATGATGGGTAAGTCAAGAATTACGTAAATATTTCATCATGATTATGTTTACATTTGTCGTTTTGGCATCAGAGGAAATGTGAAAAGCTTTTTTTTTTTTTACTTCAAGTTCAAGTATGGGTCACGACATAGTGAAGCACCCACTGTATGTCACTAGAATAGCAAACCAACAGTAGCGTGGAAAAGATTGGAAAATGATTCAATATCATGCATTTCCAACTCTTTCTGTCTTAAGTGATGTTTTTTGACCAATTTGGTGCTGACATCTTTTTTCAGCCCCTTGTTAAATGCAGTTATGGGAGTATTAGGAAGTCAGGAATTAATCATAATACATATGTTCATAGGCTAAGGTTTTAGTAAAGTGTATTATTCTCTCAGCTGTCATGTGCGCTCTGCTCCTCTACAGCGGTTTGTCACTGCAGCCTCCTAACAGGCGCCTAGACGTGATGACTAACTTAACCCAGTTGTTCCTTCCTCTTCATCATTCTATTATTACCGTTGTGGTTACTTTGCATCATTCATAGCCCCTGCGTGATCACACTGTACGCCAGCAATAAATTATACAGCGTCGCCACTTCAACTAAAGGTCTCTTTCTTCTCTCCCCTTCAATTCTTCTTTCCTCCTCCCTTCTTTTGACCTTCTTTCCCTCCCCTCCCCCCCAATGCTCTACATCCCTCTCTCCTCCACCATCCCTCCTTCTTTCTCCTCTTCCTCTTCCATCCTCCCTGCAGCCTTGAAGTAAGATGGAGTCTTCAGACGATGACACTCTGAGCGAGCGCTCCTGCATCAGCGAGCCGTCCTTCCGTAGCGAGCGCTCAGGGGGGTCGCTGTCCCCGTGCCCCTCGGGACCCGTGGGGCCCCCCGGGGACACGCTGCCCTGGAACCTGTCCAAACATGAGAGGAGGAAGAGGAAGAGCCAGGACTCGGTGCTGGACCCGGCGGAGAGGGCGGTGGTTCGTGTGGCAGGTAAGAGAAACTATCTCTCACAGACTGACAGCGTGCCTTTGAGCAAGGCACTGAGCCTGCTCCTGTTGTGTGAGCTGCTCTGTGGATAAAGGTGAAATATGATGGTTGTTGCTGGAAGCTTCCAGTGGAGGATCTGCATGTGTGTGTGAAAGTGAAGCAGGATGTTGCTGTAAGAGTAAGTAGTGGAAAATATAGACTACGGAAAGCATCAGCACATTTAAATTAATGCTAAACCCCAACCTGAAGGCAGATAAAAACAGGACCGAAGAAAAGTAGCATCTGTGAGACCCAAACTCAGTTAAAGGGGCCCTATGGTGCTCATTTCAGGTTCTGTATTTCTTCCTCTACTGGGACATGTCTCCAAGCTTCAATGTTCAAAAAGCTCTATTTTTATCATACTGCCTGTGCTGCAGCACTTCTTTTCACCCTCTGTCTGAAACCAGAGCCCAGTCTGCTCTGATTGGTTAGATGGCCGCCTCTGTTGTGATTTGTCAACTGCTTAGAGATGTCCATTCCTTATCATGTTCAATGTGTTGCAGTTGAATGGAGGCGTTTCAGGCAGAGGGGAGAGTGTGGGAGAAAATCTACCAAAATATAGTAGGGCGTCTTTAAAACACTTCAGACTCGCACGGATTAGTAGTATTAGTGTACTTTTTATGCAACAGGGTTCCACACGTTTTTGTGAAAATGCATCCGTTTGGGAAGTAGGGAGTATACTATTGGATAAATTAGACTTTGAATTATACTGAATGAGTTGTGTAAAATATATACTTTGCGGTTATTAAACACTGCCCCCATTTACTTTAATTCATCAAGAATTTACTTCGTGTATAATTATTTTTTCAACCTCGTAGCATGCGGGAAAGAAAATATATTTTCATCACAAATGTAAAGGTCCCATGTCATGCTTTTCTGGTTATTACCCGTCCCCTTGTGTGTTATGAAGGTTTTTCTGCATGTAAACGGTCTACAAAGTCACAAACCCTCAAAGTACACCCTGTAGCGAGTAAAAGTCTAACACAGAAAAGACCTGTCTATGCTGCCCCAGAACGCCTCGTTGGAGATTTCTCTTTTTCCATTGTTTTCTTCCTGGGTACAGTGACGTGCCCATACCCAAATGGACCCATTGGTCCAAATGGACCAATCCGTGGAGCCGTTACGTTACTTCCGCGGAGCCGTTACGTTAAGTCCGTGGATTGGTCCATTTGGACCAATCCGCGGACTTCCTCACACACTCAATCTTTTCTCAGCTGCAGCTCCGCCGATTTCTCCTCCCTGAGACGGCGGGACGCGGCGAGGCTGTGAGTCGGTGTGTGAGCACACACACACACCCGCAGCCTGGCTGGGAGTTTGTGTGTGTGCTCGGGCTGGTTTCGGGCTGGGTTTCGCTGTGTCTCGCTGTCTCGCAGACGGCCACTGGGCTCACAGGGAGGGGGGGGGCAGGAGCTCCAACAAGCCGTTTAGGACAGAGAGTGAATACACTATACAGAGATGCTGTATGAGAAACCAATGTGAGTTTGGAACATTGCACATGTAAATCTATTCTAGTATACCTCAACAATGGAATTATGATCAGCAGAAATGGCCATGACATGGGACCTTTAATTAAAAAAAAAATTTTTTTTAAGTTGTATTTATTTTAATCAAACCACATATATTTTGTACAACTTTTTTATTTTGTATTTTATTTTATGGGCCAAGGTGCAGTAAAATACATAGGCTACCAGTTTTTCAGTAAAATCACAATTCTTTAAGAATTAAAATATGATTAAATGTGTCCAAACATGGTAATGCATAGTTGTACATGGATAAACTAGACAAGATTTTAAAAAGAAAAAACTGGAATGGAAATAATTAGTTATTGTACTTCAATGGTTCAGCATCATGCATCCCTAACTCTTCCTGTCTTTGGAGTGTTTTACAGTAAGTAGTTTTGTCTTGTGCTGACAACCTTTTAAAAAAAAGATTCATGTAAGACTCTGTTATAAACAGTATGTCTGGCTATAATTCCACTAGCATTGTAAAAGCCAGTTGCGTGTGAAGCGATGGGGGTTGGGAGATAGAAGAAGAGACAGTGAAAGCCTACTTTATAGCAGCATGTAGGTCAGGGTCAGGGTGAAGGGCCTAAAGTGTTTGCCTGGATCATAGTGAGAGAGATGTCTGTGTGTATTATGTTTTAAAGGGGACCTATCATGCAAAATGCACTTTTTGATGTCTTTTATACATAAATATGTGTCCCCGGTGTGTCGGGGAACTCACGCAGCGTCAGAAAAGAAAACCCTCTCTCTTTCCTCCGTACCCAAATCGCTAAAAACGGGGGTACAACGGAGCTGTTCCAGATTTGCGGCGATTTGATGTCATATCGGCAATGTGGACCCACAGCACTATCAGAAACGTTGCTATCAGAAACAATGCCCGACTGTTTTGGACGTAATATGGTCGGTGCATGTTTACATTAGCATCGCTAACACTCAGAGTTAACCTGTACTGCACAGAGCATGTGTGTGAAGAAGCAGGAAATAAAAAGGAACTCACCTTGTGGTATAACCGGCAAGAGAGAAAGCCTTTGAGCTCCATACTGTTTCAGAAATAATCCTTGATAATCCATGATATGGCGTTTCATCTGCCGGTAGAATCTCCCGCATGAGCAGGCATAAGCTCCGCCCCTCTTTTTTATCAACTTTTCTTTTTTAAAGCTTTATACATAAAATCAGCACTTTTGAAACAGGAAGTGAAATAGAGGGATATGAGGCATGGCTAGAATGGGTGATCTGTTTGGTATTTTGAGCAAAACACTTCATAGACATGTTTTCTATATATTTTTATGTATCTGAGACCTATGCTATTGCCTAAAAATAGCATGATAGGTGACCTTTAATGTTATTGCTCTTATAGCGTACATACGGGAAAAATATGTACTTCCTGCACTTGGTTTCCATTAAACTCTCTGTATCCGTTTAACAGAGAAAGCTGTTTTGGGATTTAGAGATATCTGGCTTTACAATCAGACACTGGATTTAAGATGAGCTTTCAGAAGAGTCAGTCACCTCTTTTCTAAATCTGTCTGTAAATGTTTGGAGGGAAGGTTTGGTTTGGTTTTCTATGACTGCAGGTGCTGCAAACTGGCTGCAGCTTCTAATTTACTTTAACATACTTGATTTTCATAACAGACATTAAGCGGAAAGCAGTGGTGTAATGTTTTGTTTGATGTCAGTATGAAGACAAAATGTGCGAGGTGTTTCCTGCTGAGGGCTACATTAAAATTATATGTTGCATGTTGATACAAGACTGTGTGTACTGAGAAAATCTAAATAGTCTGAAAAGCTGCAACATAATCACCCTCACATTTCTTCCTGATGTCTCTTTCCTTTATGTGAAACACTAATTACATCCAGATAGGAGCAGGGATGTGGGATCATTTATTCCATGGTTTTAGACTCTTGGCGTCACTTTTATGTCCTGTGGTCATCCCTTTCATTGCATTAGTCTTTTCTTATAGATGAAATACAATAAATACAACTTTTTTTCGAATCAGAAATGCTTAAATGTTCTCTTTTATTTACACAAGGATATGAATGTATGTGTAGTTTTCTGTCATGGCTGCTTTCAGATGGGAGGGTGGGCATTTTAATCATCTCAGATTCACAGTTGTGACGCAACGTTTGTGTTGAAGTCTTTATGTTGGTGTTTGTTCTATTAAAACATTTTTAAATGATTATATGAAATTATTAAAGAGACAGTAACAGAGCAAAATAATTTGCTGAGTCAGCGAGTTGGACTTGTTTGTGTAGAGGTTTTGGGGGGTGGTGCCAGCAGGTAGCAGCCAAGATGTTGGCTCCATTACAAACCATCCAGGGCTTTGAAACACAGATGACACCTTAATAACACTGCCAATTCAAAGCTGTTTCTAAAAGCAGCTGATTTTTAGAGCTAATACTTTTAGTGTACGTTTCATTATAAAGCATGTCTTGCCAAAATAAGATAAAAAAACGCAACAAGTGGCAACCACTCTCACAAACTGATTCCTATTGTGACATTTCACAAGTTGTACAACTCCTCTACAGTTTGCTTTACCTCCCAGAATGAAGCCCTGTTTTTGTCATGGCCCCCATCCCCATCTACTCACTCTGAATTGTGTAGGTATTGTTTTTTTTTTTTAAGGTTTAGTGTCGAAAAATGTTTTTGCCCAGGAGCAGTTAGGATTTGCTAACTACTTTTGGCTAAGCTAGCTGTTTACCCCTGCTTCCAGGGTTAATGCTAAGCTAAGCTAACCAGCTGCTGGCTTCATCTTCATATTTTGTGGACATACACGAAAGTTATAACTCATCTAACTCTTGGCAAGAATAAGCTTTTTTTACAAAAAAAGTGAAACTATTCCTTCCAAGAAGTCTGCTGTATTTACTAGGAAGTTAAATGCTAAGAAATGGCAGGGTCTTGAGTATACCGTGCTTTGGAAAAAACATTGTTGTACTTCTCTTGTAAATTCACTGTCTGATACAAACGCATTGAGAATGCAGTTTCAGGGAATTTGCTGTTAAAGCTGGTGAACTGTTGAGAGTCCAGAAGAGAAAGGAATGACAGTTTTTCGTGATCTTTAAACCGATTTTGCACCTGATTTAAAATGTTCTCAAGAATGCCATTGTGCAGCTTCTTGTAGTGTGAGCGGAATCTCCGTGGGCTCTCCGTCCAGTTGGCAGGCCGGTGTCCTGCACAGTCTCATCATATATTTGATCAAAACGATCCCTCTGCCCTTCAATGCAAATGCAAAACTCTTCCACCCTTGTCAGACAAAACTGCATGTCAAATGACTATTCTGTAAGATGTCGAAGAGCACATCTGCATGCGCAAATATGTCGTTAAAAGTTGAAAGGAAAAAGCCAAATTCAAAGTTGCCCAGGTTTGATAGGTAGCCATCAGCACTGAGAATGGCAGCATCATCAAATTCCTCGTGGTGTTCAACTATGTATTCAAACAGATCCTTAGAGCATCCTTCTTTTCAA